AATAGGGATCTTTTCAAAATGCATCCAGCATCTCTGCAAAGGAAACCTTTCCTTGAGTAGGCCTTTGTCAGGGGCATTGGGACTGGCCTGGGCAGGAATGACATGATGCCCCCTGGGCCGGCTCTCCTGCCACAGGGCCCACCCCACACTGGTACCTCCCTTCTTTTCCTTTTGTTCTTTTATGTCAAGCTCTTCTAATGGGGGCCCTTCTTGGCTTCTGCAACAGCAGGGCCTATGCAGACAACTCGCACTGATCTGTCAGCCTCTCGCGGCCTGGCCTACTGCATCTTCACCAGCCAGTGACGCCCAGCCCAGTGCCAGCTCCGGGAAGATCTCACCCAGCTCCTGTCCTCTCCAGGTGTCTCTGAGACTCCCCGCAGGGGCCTGAACTGCAAGGGAAGGCCTGGCATAAGCGTGCCCTGGCTGTGTGTGGTCCCTGCCCCAGGCCACCAGTCCAGCCCTTCCGCTCCTGGCTTGTTCTGGGTCTTGGACAAAGCTGACCTGTGGCAGACGCCAGAGGAACTGTCTTGACACATGGCCTCAGAACCCCCTGTCCTGTTGGTCTCCTCCTCAGATCTCTCCTTTGCACCCACCATGAAGCTACAACTCCATAGAGCCCCTTAAAGTCATCGCAAAAAGTAGTCAAGTTCAACTAATTTATTGAAACTTCTCTCTCTCCACTCTCTCCTTTGCCTTTTTGCTTTTTTTGTGGACTAACTAAACTCACAGGGAAAGTAAAATGGCAGCATAAGTCCCCCTTCACCAGACCGACACAGCACTGGAAATCCAGACACACCAAACAGAAATATCTGGAATCTATAATTCAGTTTGCACAAAAGATGCACTGCTTGGTTCCTCTCAATTATCTGCTCAGCGTGATTCCAAACACGGTACATTATTCAAAAGTGGTTTCCACTCTCATAGCTGTATGTAAACTTAGAAGGCAAGGCGACCAACAGCCAACATCTTATCAGTGATATGGCGTGAAAATGTCTGAGCAGGAACAGCCTCGGAGTGGTAGACCTTTAATGACTTACAAGGATGGACTCTAAATACACTGATTATGAAATGTATGCAAAAATTCAAATTCTGAAAGAATGAACAGACTCATTGTGGTTCAATATTTTCTCCCACACCCCAATTTATCATCTTCCGTACCCCACTGGGTTCAAATGAAATGAGACTATGCTCAATCTTTCAATTGGCTGAATGAACCTTAAATTCTCCCCTTGCCTCCCCAGTGGCGCAGGGGTTAAAGTCTCAGGGCTATCAAGCTTATCCGCGGCCAGGGAGCTACCCACATGGCGCAGCAGACCTCTCCTGTTCTCGCCCGCTGCTCCCCTCGGCAGTGCATTTCAGTAGATCCACCTCTTCTACTCCCCACTCTGTCTCTGGTGAATCCTCTCACTCCCTCTCCCCTGCACCTCTGGCCTGTACCCCAGCTCTTGTATGCATAAATAAATAAAATAAATCTTTAAAAAAGTTAAATTCTTCCCTAGATCCAGGCATCCCTCTGTCTTGAAATGTGGAAGATCCCTTCCCCCCCATCAAGATGTTTCCATGTGCGAAAGAGCAGTTTGTCACCACACCTGGGGGCGCCGGGCAGAAGTTAGGGAGTATGGGTTTTCGAGAGTCTGGATTCAATCCTCACAGCTCCGCCTCGCCGCGTGACTTTGAGCCAGTCATTTCCGCTCTCTCTGCCCGTCTCCTGCTCGGGGAAACGGGAGTGATAGTGGAACGCCTGCGAGCACATGAGCCAACACTGCCGGCACCAGGGACCAAGTGCTCAGTCTTTTTGAATAGCCATCGGGAGCAAGGCCCACAGGGGGCACGGACGCTCCGGGTTTCACAAAGCCGTGGGCTCCAGCCCGCATCTTTTCAGATTCCCCTTGGGTCAAGAGGTTGGTAGGCCGGCAGGTTCATGCCCAGCCTCGAGATCACTAGTAGCTGAAGCACGTCCTCGTGATCTCATTTTCTTCCTTCTGGCCTACAAGCAGGAAGGGTCCCTTAGCCGCGGGCCGGAAGAGGAGGCAAGGGCTGGGAGAAAGCGCCTCAGAGGTGAGGCTGACCAGGAAATCAAGGTGAGCTGCGGGCCTCGCCCTCCCTCCTAGGGCTCCCTGTCTGTGAAACCCGACTCCCTGCGTCCTCTGGGTGCCTGATGACATCATACCAAGCGCCTGGAGCGGCAAGGCGGGTCTCGGCTCACCTGCAGTGTGGGGAGGAGGGGGAGGCAGTCACCGGCCCTGCAGGTGCCGGCCATTCCCTAGGTAGGGAGTGTGCGGCCGGTCCCTGACGCCTGCAAGCTTGGGGGCGGGGCTATCTGCAGCCCACTCCCTTTTTACAAACCCTTCCTGTGAACAGCGGGTGTCTTACAGCAGGCATGTCTCTATTTGATTTAGAAAACAAACTTGCTTTACAAGAGATAACTGCAGCTTCTTTTTTTCAGTGACAGAGCTTTCCTGAGTGCCCTTTAAAGGCTGTCTCCTCCGTGAGCAACCTTTCAGGAACGCAGCTAGGAGATACATTGGGGGCAACAGTATTTGAAATAACTACAGAAAAGGGTTTTTGAGGTGAGGGTAGAAAATGGATCCCTTCTTCATTGGATGTGAAAGCTGCTGACCTCGCCACCTCGGGAAGATGAGCCTTTGCATTAAAACCTCACCGCCTCTCCTGCAGCCCGCTGGGAGGACACCCCGTACCCGCTCGCTCCGAGGGCGGAGCAGCGCGCCCTCTGCTGGCAGCCTGGGGGCGCCCACAGGCCCTGCCGCTCCGCGGCCCGGAGACCGGCGCCTGCTGACTGGCCTTGGTCCACTGCAGGAAGCTGGCCTGTGGGCCCTTAGGACATCCCTGGGAAGGCTCCAGACAGAACATCCTCGAGGGCCTCCTCCCCCTCGGGAAGGGCAAACTGCCCCGGCCAGGCCTGGGAGAGGCTGGCTCTGCCCGGCTTTTCCCCCTCCTTGGCAGCAGAAGGGCAGGGGGCGGCGGCTGCAAAGTGTAAGGAGCTGAACGCAGGAGCTGAACCTTTGTGGGGACAGAAAAAGGCGAGCGGGGAGGGCGCTGAGGGGTGGGACTGCCCGGGAGGCGACAGAAAGGCGCGCGGGCCCCCCGGGGCCGGAGAAGGAGGGCGGCGGGCTGGGGACGCGAGGCCCAGACGCAGGACACTGGCCCGCCCGGGGCTCAGCTGCGGAAGCAACGGCCCCGCCTCGCTCTGCCGATGCCTGTCCTTGCCCTGCCTGTGCCTGGCAACCCCAGGGGAGCTGGAGACCCCCAGCGCGCGAGCCTGCCCCAGAGCTTCCCAGGGGTCGGGCGGGGGGTGCCGCGCAGTGGGGGGGAAAGCGCAGGGGGATGCCCCCGGGTGTCAGGCGGAGGTGGGGTCCGGAGCCCACGCGGCGTGGGTCGCAGGCTCGCCCCTCCCGTCCTCGCCTCCCCCGCGGGTGGGGGCCACAGCCTGGCGCGCGAGCAGGCGGCCAGAAGCCCCGCGGGGGCAGGGAGAAAGGGGCGCCTCCCGCCGCCGCAGCTTCCAGCCGCGCACCCCTGCCCGCCAGACTCCAACTGCGGGGGCGTGATGTGCCCTGGGGGCCCTCTAGGGGTGCCGTGCACCCTCTTCATTTACATTCTACTCCATTCAGCTCCTGCAGGGGATGGCCCTCAGGGTGATCCCCTAACCCCAGAGTTGCTCTAGCAGAGCAGGGAGAATGGGCAAGCTCAACCTGAGTCTGCGCTCACGAGAGAGCTGCTTTCCAGGCCCAGTGTCCTCAACCTGCTGGACAAGATGGGGGAAGCGTGGGGAGCTAGGGGAGGCCAGCTCCGCCATGTGTTCCAAAGGCAGGCCCTGGTTTGCACCCCTACTCCACAGTCCCTGGATCAGCCTCCGTGGACTTAGAAATACAGGCAAGTCCTAGCACCCCACTGAAGAAACAGCCCCAGAAATTCAGACTTTCTTCACTCACTCAGCTGGAAGTAAAAGCCCTCTGTGGCCTGAACAAGCAGCCCTGCTCCTGCCAATTACACAGCCGCTAGTCACGACGTTGAATTTTTCACTTCTAGTATTACAGAAAGGCCTGGCTCTTCCACATGTATCGAGGGGCCCGAGTTTTAAACTCTGGGAAATCCTACTTTGGAACTCGTGCTGGAAGACTTTCCAAAGACTGCAAGTCACAGAGAGGAAAGTAAATGCTCCCTGTGCCCAGAGCGCTTCAGTGCCCGAGTCGTAGGATTCTGCTGGCCACGGAAGGCCAAGGATGGACTGAGAGGCAACACTGGAGGAAGAGCCGTTGAAAACCCTGAGCGCTCACAGGGGGCTAACCCGGCATGACCATTCTCTAAAAGTTTACAGAGCAGACAGTGGAAAACAAGTGGTGCTGAATCGCCGAAGCCTTAGCAGGTCGACACCCCATCCCAGCCGGTTTCGACTCATCCCCAAACCTCAGCCAGGGCCTCGTCTCCAGTGTTGCTGAGAAGCAACAGCGGGAAGTTCCTGACTCCAAAGCACTGAGCAGAAGCTCCTGGGGCCCTGGTGGGGTGAGAGGTCTGAGCATGAAGGCCATTCAGCTACACCCAAGCCTTGCCAGGCGGTTCCCCCTGTAAGTTAGGGAGCTGACAGCAGAGAGGCACCATGGCTTCCGGCTCCCGACGTAAGAGCAGCCAGGATACCAAGCAGCTTGACATATGAACTCGAGGGGGTGAGACAGCTGGGGGCCCTGGCATTTTCTAGCACACTGGCATCATCAGTAACATTGTGAATTCTGAAGTTCTGAGCAGATCAAGATCAATGGTTTAACTTCTTACTGCACCCCTGGAGCCTCATTTAAAATCCCTACAAGCGATCAACCTTTTGCTCCCAGGAATCTACCTGCAGATAGAGGTAGAGGTCAAGTGCTCAATCAAGCATTTGGACATATAAAACCACAAACTTACTGGACACTGCTTCCTTTTCAACTATAACAAAACTCACATTAATGTAATGCAGTGAAAGCAAGTAAAATCAAATCTGAGGCTTGACATTAACTGTTGTAGTTATTTAACTTTATTATATTTTAAAATCTGAAAACTGTAAAACAATATTAATACAAAACCTGAGAACTGTTCAGCTGGGCACAGCATCTTCATACAAACAATTTGAAGGAAGGCCAAGTTTAAATTAGAATCTTGTCTTGTAACGCCAATGGAATAACACAGATGAAACCACTCTTTAAATCACCTATGCCCAGGAAATTGGTTGCATTTGTTTATAAAGTACGCTTGGTTTTCTAAAGATGAAATGTACATTCTTGCCCCTGGTGAACATTTTATTGGCATCTGTGACAAATGGCTAATACAATTAGCACCAATTCCCATAACTTATAAACTTTTTACCAAATGTCATACAACATAACAACAATATAATAAATAAAATAATTAACTATGAACATGTTTCACTTGAAAGTTGTAATTTTTAAAATAAAGTCCAAAATGAGAAATCAGAACTAATGCACCTTCCAACATTCAGCAGAACAAATGGCTCAGAAAGCAAATTAAGTATAATAAACATTGCACATGACAGAGACCGTCCCTGCAAGGAAACCCTGAAGGGCGAGCTGCGAGGTAAGAGCGATGGTAGATGATGTGCACTTTTTACAGAATAAAAACTTTTCACTATGTATACATACAGATAAACATGTATGTATGTATAGACAGAGTTCATCTTTACCTCTATAGAAGTGCAGAGTGCCATTTTAAATTCAAAAATAATAGATTCACTTTTGTGTAAACTTCAGATACAGAATAAAATATAAATATGAAACAGTAATAAAACACATTACTGTTTTATTGAGGAATAAAAACCAACAATAAAACATCTTTTAAGAATTTGGACACAGGCATTTTCATAGAGATGTGAGCAATGAATGCCTAGTTAACTGTCCAAGCTTTGGCAAAATATAGACGTTTTAAAATAATAGGTATTTAATTGAAAATAGTACCATACTCCATCCAACCACCCTTGTACTATATCTCTGTATAAAATGACCACTGATCTAGCTTGTAATTACGAGCTGGTAAGAACACCTCCTGGCACACTTAGACTTGCCCTTATTTTCTTGAAATGTGAACAAATACAACATCCAAGGAAGTAGTAAGGAAAATTACTTATATGGCTATTCCCTTTTGGGACACTGGTAGAACATGAACAAAACACTTCAGTAACAGACAAAATATTTAGAAAGAGATGGTACCTACAGTTGAATCTTCAAAAGTTCTCTAAGGAAAACTCATGGATTTCATTAGTGACCTTGTCTATCCCTGACATTTGCTCTTTGGGATTTAGCTAATTTGGTTCTTTCTATAAACTTCAAGGTGTGTTGTCTGTTTCCCACATGAAGAATATTTGTAAACTATACAATAACATTAATAAAAAGATTTAAAGAATAAACTACCAATTTGAATATGCTAATAACAACTAAATGTTGATATTATTACAGAAGTCAACTGAAATATAAACATATTCTGCCATTCTGGATGCTGTATATTTTCAGAGGAACAAAATACACCACAAAAGCTCCTACAAGCAGAAAAATGACTTTATGCCAAGATGGCATTGGTCTTTCCAGAATTAAGACCAATCTAAATCTGCATTTTTTAATTGTCAAAGTATTTTTCATCTTTAAGCTTTTCAATGTAGTGGGTCAACTTCACGGCTGTCCCCAGCTTCAGTCCCATGTACTTTATCATCATGTCACTATTGAGTAGCAGCAGAGCCTTCCCATCAATGTCCTAGAGGGAAAAGTAACAGTAGTAACGCTTTTTATATTTATCAGAAGAGTTATTTCCTTATAAGAATATGTAACAGCAATTAGAGGATCAGCTCATTCCAGATATATGTTCTCTGACTATGCATCTGCCTTATTAAAGTGATTAAAAATATTAATTTGTACAGTCAAGCAACATATGATCATTTACAAATTTACTTCAAAATTCAAGAAAAAGGAAAATTTTAACCTAATATCTTAAAATGTTCTAAGAGTCAAACTATCTAATTTTAAACACTGTGTTGACTAAAATACCTCCCGACTATGACAAAGAGTACAAACTAGGAGTGGCAGGAAAGAATTTCAGATGGCCATTAACTTTCCAGAGTTAGAGATCGGAGCTTGTATGGAAAAATCAGTTGATCGGGTCCCCCCTCCATCCACATTGATCCACACCGATCCAACTGAAGGGCCTGCACAGAGGTCACTCAGAGGCATTAGAGCGGGAAGACCGGACCAAGAGATACATTACATGTTCCCTGAAGAGGTCAGTGACGGGGGCGAGCGTCTGATGATCAGTATGTTTCAGAAACTTTATCACTTCATCCACTGTCCAGGTTGCCGGATCCTCAGGGAAGCGCTGTAGGTCATTTACCTCTGATGAATTTGTAGCTTCAGAGGGGGGCAAGGAGACAGGGAGAATAAAGACAAATCAAACTTGACCCGACCATTATTCTAAAGGGAGAGATGTTAGGTAGGGAATGATGGTCTCATTCCTGGAACCTTCTGCTAAGTATCCCGGCAAGGACCCAGGGCTCCTAGTGTAAAATCCAGTGAAAGCCTAAATAAAATGATCTAAGGATGGCTACCCAAGAGAGCCCCATCTTGGGCCTCCCCTGGTGGCGCAGTGGTTGAGCACTGGGCTGCGAAGCTGCCCGCAGCCTCTGCAGCGTCGGTTCGATCCCTGGACACTGGGGAGGGTCCCACATGGCTCGACAGACCTCTCCTGCCACGCCCACTGCTGCCCTCAGCAGTATATTTCGTCAGTCTGCCTGCTCTGTTCCCCGCTCTGGCTCTGGTGAATTCTCTCACCCTCCCGTGCTCCTGACTGTACCCAGTGCTTGTATAAATAAATAAATAAATCTTTAAAAAAAAGAGAGAGAGAGAGAGAGAGAGAGAGCCCCATCTGACCTAAATAACAAAAGTAGCTTTTGAAATTACCTTAAAGTTTCAAAGATCATAAAACATATTGAGCAATCTGAGGTCGTTTGGCCCAGACAAATACAGGAAAGATCTACTATTTGGGTTAAATTAGATGCATCTAAATTAATGTATTACTCTTTAAATATTTCTATCAATTTCTCTCAATTCTTTCTTGGTCTATCTACAGTAGGTTTATTTTACTAGCCAACTGGAATGGAAATTCTCCAAATTTACGGTTTTACAGTTACTTGAATTAATTCACTTTAATCAATGAATTTCAATAATGCCATTATCTTTGAGAACCAAATTATTTCTTTAACTGAGTCTCACCAATGTTTTCAATGTGGACATTTTTAACACCACTTAGTCTTGTCTCTCAAGCCTTATCAGAATTTTGAAGGAAACAGTTTTTTTTTTGTTTGTTTAGCTAGGTCAAAAATGACTTTAACATTATATTGAATACTTCTTTCAAGGTTAATTGTATAGTAATATATATTTTGGTTGAAGGTTTGTATGTTTAAAAAAGAAATAAATGAGACATGAAATAAAGTAAGCGTTGCAACCTCAAAAAGTTTAACTGTGTTGTTCATTAAGTTATGCTGAAATGTCTTTGATTCCGAACAAGTATTCATTTGCTTACACAATAGAGTGGAGACTCCATGAAGTTAGTGTGATACCAGAAGTGGGCTTTGCAATTTGCTAGGAAGACCAAGGACGTCAACATAAAGTTGATCTTTTTGTGTGTTAATTAGGACAAAAGGGTACTGTTTCTTTCCTACCACGTGGGCTCTGGCTATCTTAGGAGCATTCTGAGTTTTCAACCAGGAGAGAAATAGAAGATTAAAAAATTCACAATGGGATCATTGTAGTAGTGGAGACGAGGCCTGTCAGCTGATTAACACAGTGCCTGCCACATAAAACACATTCAACAATACTAGTCATCATGACAAATAGCACCCAAAACCAGCCTCAAAATAGGTAAGAATCAGCTTCCACTAGCTTGCATCAAGGGTGTGGAGAATTACAGATTGTGGTAGGTGCCAGTTCACACTCACCGATGTTGGTCGGGACGCAGAGAGATGACGCTGCATGCGGGTCAGCTAAAGCGGAGCAACTCACTGTCTCAGAGTTATGTGCGAGAACTGGCTCCGCTTGGGTGAGAGCAGGTGCAGGGACATCTGCAGCTTGAATAGTAGGTGAGTAGAGACTGATGATGCTGCGAGACCCCGGGCTCTCAAAGCAGGGCCCTGCGGAGGTGCCTGGTACTGACTCATCAGGTGTGAAATAGGGCCGATATGAGTGTGAGGTTAAGAGAGGAATTGTCGGACTCTGGCTGAGGATCAGATGATCCTGGTGAGGTGAATCTAGGTCCTGATCGAGGGACTCATCTGACTGGAAAGGTGTTCCCATAGTGTTGCTCTGGGAATCATTAACTATTTGACTATCTACTGGCATAGTTGGGCTATAACTTTCCGGGTAGGAGAACACAGCTGGAGGATCCTTTTTCTTCATTTTCAGGAATTTGATCTTTTTAGAAAGCAGGTAACTATAATTTTTGTATGCATATCCAAGAAGTTTCTGAAATGACACAAACCCAGTATAAACCAACAGTGAGTAAAAAAGGAAATAAGAGAAACCCCAAGGTGGCAGAGGCTGTGCATGGGCCCTGGTAAGACCACCCTGGGCCAGTGCATGTGGGAGGAGCCATGTCCAGTGAAGAAATCCCAATGGGTCCTTAAAAGCAAAAACAAAACAAAACAAAAACAAACAAACAAAAAAACCCAACAAAACATCGAGATGGAAAACCGCAACAAACAGCAACATGAGTCCACAGAGGCTACTATACCATGGAATGAGGGAAAAAAATCTCCAGAGGCCAAAAGTAAAGATGTGAAAAATGTATTCATCTGTATTTCACACAGAGTGCAAAACTGCCATGATAAAGAAATTCAAAGAAATGGAAGAAAACTCAGAAAAACCAATGACTTTCCCAAGAAACAAAATTAACACACAAAAGATCAAAACAGAAGCATCAAAAAAGAATGTAATGGGACATAAGATGTAAGAGTCAACAGAGAAGATTAAAAATACTGGAGAAAGCGATGGAAGGAGAATGGACCACATGGAAGAACAAAGCAGTGGACTTAAAGATCAGAACGCACAAAGAAACCAGGTGGAAAGAAAGAGAGAAGAAAGGGGGAAATGGAGAAACACTCCGAGAACTTTTCAACTACACAAGGAAAAGCAATGTAAGAATAACGGGCACTGCAGAGGGGGAAGAGAGAGAGAAGGGAACAGAGAACTTACGGAAGGAAATCATGGAGAACTTCTTGAATGTGGAGAAGGAAACAAATATACAAATTTATGATGAAAAGAGAACACCAGGCACCCAAGCATCATGAGACCGCCACAAAAATTTGTAGTACTGACACTTCTAAGAGTTCAATACCAAGGAAGGCTTTCTCAGACAACAGATGAAGGAGTTTGCAAAAACTAGACCCCCCCCCAAGAAATGTTGAAAGGAACTCTCGTATCTAAAGCAAAGAGGGGAGCAGATGCAAAGAACTGAACAAGGGCATAAATACGACCACAAAAATAAAGATAAAATGGCAGCAACAGACTTTCATGTATCAATCATTACTCTAAATGTAAATTGACCGAACTCTCCAATTAAAAGACAGAGTGGGGGCCTCCCTGGTGGCACAAGGGTTAAGCACCGCACTATGAAGCAATCCACAGCCTCTGCAGCACGAGTTCAATCCCTGGCCAGGGAGCTACTCACATGGCGAGGCTGATCTCTCCTGACTCGCCCACTGCTCCCCTCAGCAGTGTATTTCAATCCTTCTGCCTGTTCTGTTCCCCACTCTGTCTCTTGGGAGTCCTCTCACCGTCCCCCCACATCTCTGGCCTGTACCTCAGCTCTTGTATGCATAAATAAATTAGAAATCTATAAGACAGAGTGTCAGTGTCTGCCTGGATTACAAAACAGTATACAACTTTCTGCTGTCACCAGGAATGCACCTGAGCTCCAAAGATAAGGATAAAAAATACCCATGTCGTACATTTCTTAAAACTAAACTTCAATATTCTACCAACAGAGTTTTAGTCTCCCGTCTGCTGCTGCGTAAGTATAGATCAGTCTTGTTAATCTCACAGTCATTAGAGCTCTCTCACTTCTGATTGGCATCTTTAGAAATCAGCGATTTATTATAGTTGTGAAAATATTTTTATAACACTTACGCGATGTTGCCACAATGATTTCATACGAAAACGTTGGAGTCTTGTAACTTTTCCATGAATGACATCAAACTTCTTATCCAGGTTTTGGATGGCTTCATAGATAACCTATTATAACATAAACTATTAGTCATTTCTATTTCAAAAGAAAAGTAACATGACCATACCAATAAGTCACATTTTGACAGCTAGAAACAAAAAAAGTTCTCGAGTGATCAGAAATTTCCTGTTTCCCACATGATGCCTGGCTTGTGGTGACAGAGAACAGTGGCTGAGAAGAGGAGCCCCAAGCTCCTACTTGGCCACTCCACGCCATACAGCATCTGAGAAGCCCTCGTTCTGGAGAGCAGACGCGCCAGTTTCCTGAGCCCTCCCGCTTATGCAGTCACTTTAATTAAGGAAGGTGCTATCAGGGCAAAGGAAGGTGCTAAAGGTCAAATAGCCTCTTTTCATAGAATGACAGTGAACTAACAGGCAATAAGCGTTCACTCTGGAAAGAATACTGAGCCAAATAAAACAGATATGACTTTGGCTTCAAAGTATTTTAAAAGCACACAATTGACAATTAACCCCACAAAGCCTCTGAGTACATGTTCCTTACATCCCATCAGGTATGTGACTGATGAAACCTATAAAATGCACAGAAATTTCATTTGGGTAAAAACTACACTCCAGTAAGAGGCCAGAATCATTTCCTGTTCATTCATTCATAATTATGTAAAATATACTCTTTAAAAACTAGTGGTGGCCTGCCATTTTGTTTCAATTGAGATACCTTACTATGCATTTAGGCCTATACTAAATTTTATTCAAACCAGCCATTTTCTTTTTAAGTTTTTTTTTAGAGGGAATTAATATTCAATATTGAGCAATCTAGATGAAAAAGACATACATAGATTTGATCACTTAAGGGCTTTTTTAAAGCTGTAAGATCTAACCATTGCTATTTCAAAATTTTCTTCTGAATATGCTATTCAAACTAGAAATTACTAAAACTTATCACAATGGGGTGATCATCAGAAATAATTTGAGATGGCAAAATTTCAATTAATTGTATACTTTCCCTTTGTAAGATAAAGAGAATTTGTTTAATAACTACATTCAAGCTAGAACTTTCATACCTGGCAATGAGAAAGGATGTCCAGCACTGTTTTTTGGTGTCTTTCACTGTGGGCTACTCCTGATACAGGCTTTTCCTGCTAACATTTCAAAAGTTAAACAGATTATTTTCACAAGAATCAAATTAAGCACTAGGAAAAAACTATTTTAATTGTTTCTATTTTTCACCAATTTTTCAAAGGGTTTCAAGAAAGCAGAGACAAAACAGAATAAAAATTCAGGTTAACATGAGAATAGAAAGGCTAGTACTTATATCTGAAGGGCCTAGGTTTAGAGTTTTGTAATGAATAAAAACTGGTCGAAATTCCTATCATAATGGAAAGAAAAAAGTAAAATGGTTAAATGTACACTGTATAATGAAAGAAAGCACACAAATGTAGAACAGACTAGTATTTCATTAGTATGAGTTTAGAAGAGCTCTACAATAGATGAAGAATTTACATCTTTCCTTTTAAAATGACTAAGTGTTAATGTATTTGTCAAATGACAACTAATATTACTTACATTATTGATATATGAAGTATTTGGTTCATAAGCATAAAGAACAGAGTTATCATCATCATAAGCAGGTATTCGTGTCCTTATCTAAGGAAGATTTATTAACAAATTAAACGGAAAAACAGAACTAACAGCAAAATTGAGGGGTTTAATTTCACTTTCAAGGAGCTCCAAAAGCCTATCTGGGACATCAAAGGAACTTAGCCCACTGGCTACCTATGACAGGAAAAGATGGACTCGCAAAACTGCTTTCTCATTAACCTGAATATACTTCAGACATCATTTTCTATAGAACTTAACCTCTTACGTGCCTCAGGGTAGAAAAACTAGTCTTCTCATAATCTCATACCAGAATAGCTTTAAAAGCAAGTATTTCTAACCACAGAGCACAGGGTAACATGGCTTCTGATTTTTCAATAATCTAACAGTGCCACGCTGTGGACAAAATGGGAAACATTTAAGCATCTAATAATCTCTAAATCAACTTACAACATGGGGGGGGAGGGTAAGACAGGGTATAAATAGACAGTAAGCAAACATTACATTTCATTTAACAACTCTTTAAATATGAATTATGAACTACAGGAATAATTTTAAAATAAACATGCTTAGAAACTGTGTATGTCTTTTTTTTGAAAGACATGATAGAAACTACCTGAATTAGCCTTGTGCTGATGAGATAAGCAAAATAATATGGATTGGGCTATAGATTAGTAGTAATTAAAAATGTCATCTTATCCTTGTATAATGATTTATGATTTTCAAAGTGTGTTCACATAATTATGCCAGAAAAAATGCTCTTGGTAGGCAGGCAGTCAACATTATCTCCAATAATGAAAACCAATGGGGCTGATATAATTTAAAAGAACTGCCTTTATCAGTTAGGTGGCATGAATATCCACATCTATATGGGAGTAAAGAAATGTGTTTTCTATAAAGCCAAATTATACATAGTCAAGTAATTTGTTTTTATCCAATTTCAAGGTTCAAGAAACATATCATAGAAATTTAAAATAGCACAATCACTTCAAAAAACTGTTTGATTCTCATAATGTTGTTAAAGTTACATTAACCCTAAGACCTAGCAATTCGACTCACAGGTACTTATCCAAATAAAGGGTAGTATTTGTTCATAAAATAGCTTCTCCACAAATGTTCACATCACTCAAAACCCATCAGCTATACACTTGTGAGCTACGGATTTCACTGTATGAATTTAAATTTAGAAAAGAAACACAGCACAATGAAAAGAACAAAGAGAGTCTGAGGTGAATACAAACCACATCGACTTCGCTGGAGCCGCTAGACATCTTTTTTGGTGCAACAGAAGCAACTCCACTTCCTCTGAGTTGGGCCTAATTATTTCTAAACCCACTGGAGGGTTTTTTGGTGAAACTGCTTGGTCACCTAGACCTGGTGAACCTTCTACTCCTGAAAAACAACACACACAGAGTTACTTCACACACTCACCACCTCAATAAAGTTAACACAAATAAGTTCTCAGAACGCCAACTCCATTGGAATTGGAGTCCTGGCGGGAGGTTAGAGAATGACAAAACAAGAAATTTTCTGCCAGTCATTTAGAATAGACCCTTAAAAATCGAAGGGCCACATCGCCCATGCCCAGGAACAAGAATCAAGATCAAACTCACCCCAAATTGTCAAGTGAATGCTTCACAGCTGAGAGGCTGCAGGGTAAGCACTGGAGACAAAAAAAAAACAAGAGAACATTCCTAACTGCTTTTGTCAAGGCGCCCCAAAGGGCTTTTTACTTAGGGGACAGCAGGTCACCAAATGCGAGCTGGGAGTCCACAGCAGTTTGCCTCCCCGCCACCCATGCGTGCACTGGACAGACCACTGAAGACACAGCCTCCTCACCTGCCAGGTGAGACCAGCAGGGATGATCGCTACGGTCACTTCAGCTCTAAGATCATGACTGCCCTGATTTATACTAAACCCAAACAAATGTATGTGACCTATAAGGCAAAGCATCTAGAATTATGTAAGCTCGGTTATGCTTCTGAGTCATTTAACTCTGCAGCTAGGAAAAGACACCAAGTGCAATATCATGATATTGTAACTTGCAACAGAAATTTTAAAAATCGGCATCTTAGTCCTGAACCCAGCTAATTCAAGAGAGAGCTAATTCCTTCATGCACCCACAGTCGGGGCAATCAGAGAGCCACAATGAACTCACAAGTGAGATATATACAGGGTCATACTGCGGGAAAATTCAAGTTCTAAAAACACCATAACTTCAAACTGTGTTTTTTGAGACGATGTTCAACTTTTCTGAGCATAAGACTAACATATGACTAACTGAACTGTGGTGTTTCAATGCAAAGGAAGACTACACAGCAATGAGAATAAACCAACTGCGGTTCCGCCAAGGAGAACCCTAACATGGAGTAAAAGCCAGACACAAAAAAGAACCCAGTGTATGATTCAACTGAGTGAAAGTTCAAAAGCAGGAGGAGCAACCAATGGTGGAGAAGTCTTTCCAAACCCAGCCCAACCAACACCTGTCCATACAGGGCAGTCACGCCAATGCTTCAGGTCAGCTGTGAGTTATTTAACCAGCCCCCAGCTAAAGTGCTGCTCTCGCAGAGAACAAGGCAGGGCAGCCTCACACATCTGCTCGAACTCTGACAGCATGAGAACAGTGAGTTAGAACTTCCCTGCCCCAATACTATTTCTTATCCTATTACATCCCAAAGATGCTCTATAGAAAATTTGGAACACACGGGATACTGAGGATAGTATTGAACAGACTTTACTGCTTACTCTGTGCCAGACAATGTTCTCAGCACTTGATGTGTATTAATAGGTCTAGTGCCCCCACCCCTAACTCCACTGGGCAGGGCCTATTATTATCACCACTCTCCTTTAGAGAAAATTAAGGCAAAAAGGTTGAATAATTTACCCAGGACTCAAAGCTAGTAAGTAGCGCAGCCTGGCTCCACAGTCTATGTGCTTTATTTTCTTCATTATTAAAACCATCTTGAATCCCTTCCATAACAATACAAAATAAAATCCAAACTCCTACTGTGGCCTAACACAACTCCAAATTGTTAGGCGAATGCCTTACAGCTGCGGGGCTACGGAGTAAGTGCTGGAAACAAAAACCAAGAGAACATTCCTAAATGCTTTTGTCAAGGAGCCCCAAAGGCAGCCACACAGTTAGGAATCCACTCCACCATCTCTTCAGAGTCACTTCTTACCACTTGTTCCCCTGCTCTGAGCCTAAAATGTTTACTTTCCGGTCTTCGGTCTTCCATAGACAATTTACCAACCATTGTCATATATTCTTATACCAAATAATGCAACTGCAATGGATTAATTACAGTGCTGCCAAAACATGGCTGCTGGTAAACAAAGCAGCAGCAGCACTGAGGATACTCCCAGACGCCTGACATTTTTACTTCCTGGCACATTTACAAATGAACACTGATCTTGCACTCTTTGGACCTGTTGCTCTTGTCATGCCCTCTGCCCACAATCTCCTGCTGTTTCTCTGCCTAGGAGAACCGAGTCAACTTTAAGTTTCTTATCCACAAAACAAAGGGCTAGGTCACCCCACCTGAAAGTGATACTGCTTTCTCCCAAGTGCCACAACACTCACACATTGGTGCTTTAAAGGCAATTGTCACACTCTGGCCAGTTGTATGCGCAGCAACACCAAGTAGCAGCATTAAGACTTAGGCCTGGGGCCAAACACCTGGGTTTGGGTCCTAGCTCCTCAACTTAACAGTAGGACTTTGGGCAACTTCTGTGGACTTTAGGAAAATCTGTAAAATGGGGATAATAGTACTGACGTCATGGAGTTATGAGGGTTAAATGAATCACTATTTGTAAAGTGTTGAGAACAACGACTGGCATAGCAAGGACACCCACTTTTGGCTACCATCATTTTATCATTTGGGTGTTCTATTCACAACATTCTCCCAATACCAGTCATGGAGCCCATGGGCAGCAAATTTTCAGGGTCATAACAGGTAATTGTCATTCACATTGCACCTGTACACAGCAGATGTAACAAGCATTTCTTCTAAATAAATTTTAAGTACCAGGACATAGTGCAAAAAATAGGACTTTAAGAAATTCTTGACTCCAAATTGTAAATTTTGCTTTTACTTTTAGTCTCAATTTGTTAACCTGTAAAGTGGGAATTAATATCTACTTCACAGGACTGTGCAAGAACAAATGACACAGTTATTTAAACACTCAGTATCATGTCTGATTCAGAGCAGGTGCAGCATAAAGTTTAGTTTCTTTTCACTTCTTCCCACAAGGTAAATAATTAAAATTTCTGTAATAATTTCTTAAAGCGCAACCAGGACTAGATTGTGAAAAATTAAATAACATAGTTCATTACATTCAAAATCTCGCAAAATGAGTTTAATTAAAATGAAGCTCATTTGCATTTTACGACAGAAAATCTGAACTGTTGACAACATCAGAACAAGAAGCCATCTGGTTTTTTGTATGACACCTTTTAGACTGTAGGGTAAAGAAAATATCAGGCTTTTCTGCCCTTCCGCCATCAGGATAGATGATGGATCCTTGTCCTGAATGCATGCCTGATGGCGGGCACCTGGAGTAGGGTGTGGGCATAGGTAGATGGGATTCAGCTGAGCTAAGACTGTGCTTTTAAGGGCAGCGTCACGGGGGGGGACGCCAGCAGCCCCAGCCAGCAGCAGCAGAACCTGAAGGAGAAGCCGAAGCAGAAGCAGAGAACGCCAGAGAGCCCAGATAGAGTGAAGACTTGCTGGGGGCTGGGAGGCCTGCCAGCCTCCCAGCCCCCCAGCCAGCACCCCTGCCTGCCATATGCCTGGTGAACCCCAAATAAAAAACCTGCAAAACTACTGAGGACTCTGACTCCTCCTTTACCCGATCTGCATGGGATCAGAAAACCTGCACTGTATCCAGTCCTGCCCTTACAATTGGCGTATGTCGGCAAGATCCATGCAGACGGGTATTGGAGCCCTCCGAAGACCTGGAGGGACTAAGGAGAACAGACTTTGCCTGTGACGACGCTGGAGGCACCATGGCGGTATAGAAGATGGATACGTCCACGAGCTACAGGATGAGACCTGGCGTGAAGGAGACGCCCGAAAGGACCAGCCAACGACACCGGATAGGACCAGCCAACGACACCGGATAGGACCAGCCAACGACACCGGAAAGGACCAGCCAATGACCCCTGAGGCAGCAGGCCATTGCTGAAGCAGGGAGAGGCCAATGGACTGATAGACTGATGAACTGATGATTTTGGACTGACAATCCCGCCAGAAGGCGGAGGACCTTAGCAGGTTATGTTTATTTTTTGAGAATCTGGGGGTGGCCAGTGGGCCTAGATGGCCAAAAGCAGCCTGTGTATGCCCAGTGGCCAGGTGGAGGAGAAAAGCCAACTAAGGTGGCAAAAGCTGGTACTGATGCTAAGTTGAGAAGCCCTAAAGCGGCTTTTAAGCAGCCTGGGTATGCTGAAGCCCTGTGAGTCTCGTAAAATCACCTATGGGTGATGCCCTGCTCATTCTTGAGTGAGGGTGAGGAGCTGAGGAGCCCGTCCTTGGGGACGGGTGGGGAATGTGGCTTGGGGTGGAGCCCAAGCCAAATGCAAAGTTTGGATCCCCAACCCATGTGCTTGTGCAGTGGGTTGGCTTGAGAGCAGGGGTCTGTGAGTCGCATGGGTGGCCATGAAGGCCGAGTGTTGGAGCGACTGCAGACAGAAACCCTGAGGGTTGGCGATTACCCCCAACAGAATAAAATTGCCAATCCCAGAGCTAGTGCATCCTGGGGGTGGATGCTGTGTGTGCCTTGTAGCCGAGACTACAGCCAGAGAAGGCCAGGAAGCCTGACGGCTCCTGGTGTGTTATAGTAGATGCCGTGTGTGATTTCCCCTCCCTCGTATGAGCAGTGCCTTCGGCAGCAGATTTGGTGGCTCATCTGCTGGTACCAATAATTGTCTTTTGCACTTGGTTGGTGCCCTGCCTGGACTTATTTGTGTTCTGTTGTATTTTGTTATGTTGTATTTTGTTATTTGATGTATTTGCTTTTGTGGGCCATGGCTGCATTGTTTGTTTGCTTAGAAAATTGTATATGTATGTATAGACTGTGTGGCAGAAAACCCTGAGGGGGTGGACTGTAGGGTAAAGAAAATATCAGGCTTTTCTGCCCTTCCGCCATCAGGATAGATGATGGATCCTTGTCCTGAATGCATGCCTGATGGCGGGCACCTGGAGTAGGGTGTGGGCATAGGTAGATGGGATTCAGCTGAGCTAAGACTGTGCTTTTAAGGGCAGCGTCACGGGGGGGGACGCCAGCAGCCCCAGCCAGCAGCAGCAGAACCTGAAGGAGAAGCCGAAGCAGAAGCAGAGAACGCCAGAGAGCCCAGATAGAGTGAAGACTTGCTGGGGGCTGGGAGGCCTGCCAGCCTCCCAGCCAGCCAGCACCCCTGCCTGCCATATGCCTGGTGAACCCCAAATAAAAAACCTGCAAAACTACTGAGGACTCTGACTCCTCCTTTACCCGATCTGCATGGGATCAGAAAACCTGCACTGTATCCAGTCCTGCCCTTACATAGACATTTTCCAGAAGTAATCTGAAAATTCTTTTACGGTTTTTACGGCAAGAGGAATCACTTGCCATCAATTTATTTCCCGGGAAAACCACTGCAAGGAACACACACAAACGAGGCCGATTAAAACAGAACACGTCAAACTTTCCTTTAAAAACGAAAAGAAACAAAACTGTATGACTACAGTGAACCACAACATTTTAAAATTCCTTCCAGAAGTCTCAAAAACAGCCGTTCTGTCTGCGTCAAACTTTAGAAACTACAAGGTCCGCCAGTTGCGGGATAAGGACCCGCCTCCAGCCCCCCCCAACCCCCCCGTTCACGGCTCTCGGCAGGCAGGCTGGAGGCGGAATCCAGCCCACTGCCGGCTTTAGAATACGCCCTGTAGAAAAGTTACAGCTTTTGTAAGCTTTAAGCCACTTTTAAACCTTAGAGCAATCCGATTTCAGGGCGAGCCCGGCAAGGAGGGAAGGAAGCAATTCGCAAGGGCCAGGTTCAACCTATTTCTCTTTCACGTCTCTACAGTAAATCAGCCAGGCTGCGCCGTCGGTTTTCCACGGAACCCGCTACCAACGAAGTTCAAAATCAAGGTTTCCATCTCAAACTGTTCTCGTGATGCACCCGTTCATTTTCAAGGCTTTAAACTCGACGTTCCATTTTAAAAACTCTGAATGTTAGTCCTTCCTCGGCCCCTGCGCCCCCCCCTTGCCGACACCCGCCTCCACCGAGAAAGACAAAGGATGAAAAAGGATAAACTTGTCTCACAAAGTTAGCACAAGGTCTTAAAAAAACTAAGACGCCAAAAGCTGAGAGGCGCGCCTATCCCGGGCTACCCGTCCAGAAGCAGCGTGAGTCGTGGAGAACCGCCGCGAACCATCGAGAATCACCGCGAACCATCAAGCTCCAGAGGACTAAACCCCCACCCACCGCCACCCCCGCGACCCCACCGCCCCGCGCTCTCGGCGGGCAGGCTGGAAACGGCCTCGAGCCCACGCCCGGCTTTCTAATACACCGTGCAGAAGTTACACGACTCGTCAACTTTCAGCCAGTTTTAAACCTTAGCGCAACTGGATTTCGGGGTGAGCCAGGTAGAGGGAACAAAGCACCGCCGCGGCGTTTCCATTTGAAGATAGACTCACTCGTTCCGCAAAGAAAATTTTTCCTCAGGATTTTCAGGTAGCCCCAGCGCAACCCCCCCTCCCCACCGCCTCGCCCCGGGACGCTCGAGCCGTTAAGGCCAAAAGATTCCTCGACGGCTTCCAGCGCTGCCGCGACGCAAGAAAGTGCGAGCGTGAGGAAAAAGCGCCCCTGGACAAACCTCTGGAGCCGCAGCCGGCCACACCAGCCTCCGGAAGGCACGCGCGCCCCGCTCGCCCCGCAGCGTCCTCCGCGGTAATGGCAGAGAAGGTTCGGGCCACGCGCGGCTCGCAAACGGCCCTCGAGCCGGAAATCGCGCGGGTTCTCGTGACGTGATTGTCGCGAATCCCACTGAAGCGCGGAACCCGGGCCCCCGCCCGCCCGCTCCCAGCGGCGCGCCCGTTGCCAGGTGAGCGGCGGAGGGCCCCGCTGACCAATCAGCGGCCACAACCGGGCGGTCCCGGCAGAGCCGGCCGTTGCTAGGGAGATAGCCGCGGGGCGGGGCGTCGCTCCCACTGCGCAGCTGCGACGGGGGCCCGCCTCCGAGCGCCGGCGCCGACGCTCAAGTTTCCGTTCGCTGAGGCTGGTGGGATTGGAGCCCCGCGCGGCACGACCGGCAGGAGCCGCCGGAGCGGAGAGGTTTCTGCGGCTGCGCAGAAGCGCGGGCGCGCTCCTGCCCGACCTCCAAGAGGAAGAGCTTGGGGCGGGTGAGGCTGTCAGCACGTGGCCTCCCCGCTGTGCTGGCGAGGGGATCTGAACACCCTTTTAAAACAGAATTCCGCGTCGCTGCCTAGAACGTGCCAAAGACGCCAACGTGGGCAGAACTCTAGGTGTGCGGTCAGTGCTGAAATTTGAAGGGCAAGAGGGGCGGAGCCCGAGATCTGACCTTAGCAAAATCGAGGTTTGGCACAGCCGGTGCACACGCTATTTTGAAAATCAATGCAGACCCCTGGTGTCTGATTTGCTGCATTTGAACCCCAGCCCCAAGAAGTAATTGCTCTGTGCTTCAGTTTCTCATCTGTAAAATGGGCACAACATGGGGGGTTCGTCAGCTGCGGCCGGCAAAGCCCTTAGAACAGGGTCTGGCATATACACTCGCTGTGTTATAAATGAGACATGGTAATATTTAGTGGCATCTTCTCATGCGTCTATCAGGCTGCCCTCTGGGGAGGCAGGCAGACTTACGAGCAAAAGCAAAGCCATAATCCTAACCCAGACAGGAGCTGCAAGGAAAGTACAATGGAAATGTTTTTTTTTCTCCTCTCAGACACAAAGCTGGATTAGAGCTCATTGTAGAGACAATTTTTAAAAATTCTTATTCTCTCACTTTTTTAAAAGATTTATTTATGCATATAAGAATTGGGGTACAGGCCAGACGTGTGGGGTGTGAGAGGACTCACCAGAGACAGTGGGGAACAGAACAGGCGCACTGACCCAAGGACACTGCTGAGGGGAGCTGCGGGCCAGACAGGAGAGGTCTGCTGTGCCACGTGGGTCATCTCCCTGGCCGGGGATCGAACTCAAACTGCAGTGGCTGCGGACAGCCTCCTGTGTTGAGACTTAACCACTTGAGCCACCAGGCAGGCCCTTTATTCTCTCAGTTTTGCCATAGTAGTTCCCCTCCTTTATGTTCAGTTCCCTGGAAAACACCTTGTGGAACCCCAAGGATGCAATTACATAACAAAGAAGCAAAACCAGTTGTTTATTTGCAGTCACGTTTATTTGCAGTTTCTATACACACTTTCTAGGTAATCAAACTTTTCTGGTACACTTTTTTTTTGAGGGGTTCACGATAAAACTGTCACCATTTTTACTAAAAATAAATACAAGACTTAAAGTGTTGCACAGCTCTAAAATATACAAAGGCTTGGATTGAATGTAAACGTTGAAAACATCTTACAAAAGAAACCATTTTGCAACAATTTAAAAAGTTCGTATTTACAAATATTACAAAAATACAAAATGGATGCAAGTCCATAAACCATTGTCTTTTCGGCCAGCATGAACTGGTTCTAGTACCAAAATAGTTACACTTCTTCATAGTTTGAAATCTTTGTGATGATCTAGTTCTCTAAATCTGCTGCCACTGCAGCAAATATACTCACTCATTGACCTTTGGCAAGAGCAAACAGTGTGTTTTGTTTGCTTCGACTAGTCCATGTCCTCTACTTAGCCAAAAACAAAAACTAAACACAAAATAAGGAAAAAAAATTCCCCCCCCCACAACATAGACATGTTGTATAAACATAAAAGAACTTAAAATTAGCATCAGTGCAAACAACAGAAGAAAAGTTTGAATTGATGCTCTTCACAATACCTAATATGTGTGTACCTTGCGTCAAGATGGCAGTGATGTTGAAAGACAGCCCTCTAAATCTTGGTGTTACGTGCAATGTAATAAAGTCATGTAGAATATTCCAGATTACTAAGGAATTTCTTGCTTTTTATTTTTTTTCACTCAGTTTGTTACTCAATGCTCTTTTCCGTAGTGAATTTAAAAACTATCTTTATTTGGGTATTATTTAAATCTATGAAATATAAAATAGAGAAACTCTGCTATAGATTTTTTTAGAGTAAATAAAATAAGTGAAACTATATTATAAGGGTTAGTTCTGTGATCATTACATACAGAAGGTATTTTATTGCCTCACAGTTCAAGTCAATATGTGTTTTAAAATATATGGTACCATTACTTAAATTGATGTCAATAATAAAAAGGTGACATTTTTATTAAAGCCAATTCAATGTGTTTTCTATTCAAGATTTAGAATCACTTTTAAAGCCCACATACCTTTCTTTACGCTTAAAAAATCTCTAACTACACAAAAGCCATACTGCAAATGAACTGCTTTTATGAAAATTACAAAAGATCACCTATTGTGACTGGAAATGACTGTTTCTTATCTCATTTCTCTAAAAACTTTATCTTTAAAATTTTGCCAAGTGTACTTTTCAAAGCAGGAGAAAAAGTTACTCATGTTCCCATGTAGTGTCAAACCACGCTGGTTTTCTTAATGAGTGGGTTCCAATGAGAAATGATGGTACAGTTTTTCAAACCCCCAAACATTTTTCTTTTAATAAAAAGTGTAACACTTTGTAAATGTTCAAATGTACCCTTTACCAGGTAGCTTATCTATCCCAGCACAAACACACACACATACACACACACATACACACACACACACTCCCTCCTCTACCCAACCACCCCCAGCACCCATTTTACATACAGAATGACAAAAAATTAGAAAACATAATTTGATAATGAAAACAAATAGAAGCCAGACATTTTTTTTTCTTTCCAAACGAACAAGAAACCAACAGCAATCAGATTCTGTAATTCTTAATCTGTAACATCTTAGAAAGTGTTTCTATGGAAAGACAGCATCTTCTTAGATCAGGCCTTCTCCATGTTGCATGAGTTAAACCCAAACCACAAGCCCCCTCCACACATCCTACATTCCCAAATCCCACTTGCATAAGCTTAAAGACGCCGCTTGTCAATTTCTTGGTAACTCTGGTGTGTTCTACCATTCTAATCACATTCTATTCTTTAAAGGCCACAACCCTTCTTAGTTCTCTCTCCCTTTCCCCATTCAAAACATATTCTAAGTACATAGCTGCTTACATTTCTGACACATCATTTCAAACACTAGTATCAGTTCATGTTCAAATCAGAAGTGTAAAAACCATTTGCAGATCTCAACTTGTAACTACGTGTTTTTTTTTTTTTCAGTTTTAAGACAAGAAAATTCAAGTAATTTCAAGTAATTCAGCTTGTTTCCCTGCCTTCATTTGATCAGAGCACTTGCCCTGACATTTCCTTTCCCACCCACCACCCCTCCCCTTTTGCCATCAAGCAGATATGGTCAAATCAGACATCAGTTATATGTAGCATTGTGAACCAGAGCCGCTTCCCATTCCCAGTTGAACAGTGAATATAAATAATGCATATACACATACCTATTTTCCAACTACATTGTTCACAGTGTCATTTCTGTTCATTTTTAGGTAGCATGAATCTCATCAGCACAGAGAGAAAGCTTCACTGAAAACTCACTGCAGGTACTTACTGATAAATCACCAGCTCTGTGGCATGCTTATGTTTTATTTTTGTTAAAGAACCTGGAGCTACTTGCTTAACTGTTTAAGGAGTTTAAAGATTATAGTCATTAGATTATGACTGTTCATGTCCCCAGTAGCCTAATATAAAACATAACCTAAAATTAACTACTGTTTGCCCTACTCATTCTCTTTAAAGCAATCCATTGAAAAATGAGAGTCTGAAGGACACTGTCAAATGCTGTTGTTCAGGGCTTTGTGTTGAGAATGATGATTTCTCTCCTCGATTTAAAAAAATCAGAAGCATGCTTTCATTCTGTCCAAATCACCACATGGCAAATCACTGCCACGTGTTACTGTTTGCTTGTTTGGTGCTGCAATTTGTCACAAAAATGCTTAGGTCTGAATTCATTACTTTAAACGAATCGCATTTCAGTATAGGACCTCAAGATTTCCTTTATTTCACCAGTTTAAAATTCATATTTGAGGTTTATCACTCAGAAATCATATTGGTGGACATTTGAATATGGTATTTGATATGAAAATGGTATTCACAGAATACAATCATTACACTTTATTGTTTGTGTTCTATAAACAGTTGGTGTGCGGGAGATAATTGGCCGCATGTCCACGCGTCAGTGATAAATCTAAGTACACATTCTTATCAAAAATATGGTATTTACATGTGTGTAGTTCTTTCTTCTAAATTTTGCTTTAGTTCATTTTAATGTAAAAAAATACCAAACCTCCGGAGTAATTTCATCTTCTTAAGAATCGTGACGGTGAGGGCTTTGTTTTCTGAATAGGCAGCTCTGGAAAAACTTTTTCTAGGTTTCACGAAAAGCAGACTTTTTTGAATTCTGTAGTATCAAAAGGAATGAGCTTGGGTGAACCAAACTAAGCTAAAGAAAACCATGACAGACAGCGCAGCTACTTAAACACACGGGAGATAAACAGGCCCGCCCAGCCCACCTCCTGTTTGCCCGTCCAATGGTTTGCAGTTGGTCGGCGGCGCTGCCCGCGGTGGGCACCTGGCCCCGTCTTGCTTGCCGCCCTGCCGCGCGCCCCCAGTGGCGGCAGGGCCTAGGTGGAGCTCTGGGAGGAGCGGTCGTCGTGCGGGCTGCCGTCGGAGTTCTCCGTCTCGCCCTCGGAGATGGCCTGCATGGGCGCGTTGTACAGGCGGCAGCGCACGCTGTAGCGGCTGCTGCTGGCCGCGGGCGGGGCCCGGGATCGGCCCACCCTGGCCGAGGCCAAGTTCTTGGAGGAAAAGCCCTCTGCGTTAACTCTCGGGGGGCAGGGAGAGAGTGGGGACAGGGCCTCGGGCCCAGGGGCCCCCTGATGGGCCTCCTGCGGGCTCTGGGGGGACTCGGCCATCAGCTCCCCGGGAGGCTTGGGCAGGATGGGGCTCTTGAGGATCTCTGTGGCAGACATGCGGTAGCTGGAATCGGAGCGACTGCCTTTCTTGAGGAGTAACAGCTTAAACTCTTCGTTGGATGTGTTGGACTTTTTGGCATTTCGGTAGATGAGGCCTGGTGACCGCTGGCTGTTGGGGGTGGTCGCGCTGGCCCCGGATGAGGCGACCGAAGCAGCGCCGCCACTGCTACTGCCCAGGGAAGCCCTGGATTTGCTTCGGACAGACATGTCCCCAGAATCTTTTCTTCCAAGTACTTTCCTCTTGGACCTTATAGAGAAAAAGGAAAGAGGAGGCAAACAGCTCAGCCCACCTAGTTTTTATGAAACCGACAGTGGTCAGTTACCTTCATGTATCCCTCCTATCAACAGCACTTCCAGCACCCTCCCTGAGTGGATACTAGGCATTGGGGCAGGGGAGGATCACTCTTGCAGCACTCAGGGAAATCCTCCTGTAGCCGGTGGACACAGATTAGATTCTGGAAAGGATCATTTCACATAATGACTAATGTGGAGGCTAGAGTTTGCACAGAAGGACTCGGTGGGACATTTCACAGGTGGGCACGGGTTCCCTGTTAGCATGGGCGAAGGGAAGGGTTGCTGCTGTCTCTTCTTAAATCTGTCTGTGCCATCCAGATGTAATGCTCTGGTGTCTGGTGTTCCCATGACTACCCCAAGGTCAAAGAGGATGGAGGAGTGGGTGGGACAGGATTAGCCAGAGGTTGATGGCTGATAGGCTTGGGTGACGGGTGCACGCGCATGCATGTGCATGCACACACACACTTTATACTATTCTGTCTACTTTGAAAAATTCCTCTGTATGGAAACATCTCTTATATGACTTTAAAAACAATTCAATCCATTTGGGGCTGCAGGTACCATTTTCCATAGCTGTTGGAACATCAACTGAGTATTTGTCAGTGAGCCAACTTTCTGTGAGGCGCTAAACACAGACCACTTCTGGAGCAGTAAAGCTGTAAACTCTCAAAAAAAAAAAATAAATAAATGAAAGCGAGCCTGTCACTGCAATGCAAATACATCAGTCCTACACAAATGCAAATCTAAGATTACCAAACTACTAAGTCTGTGACACCTGGCACCTGTCATCACAGGTTTTCCTTTGATAAGTAAACAGGCATACATAGAGTGAATTTTCAGCATAACTCAGTTCATTGGCAACATGCTCTGTCACTAAGCTCAAAATCCACAGGGTAGAAAATAATGTCAGCTGTGTCTCATGGGAGTCCCCCTAGGTCACCAGGGCCGAGTGCGGAAAGGCCTTTGTGTCCCCGGAGGAGTAGGCAAGACCCAAGTGGACAGCTCAGCCTGAGATGGGCTGGCTCGCCAAGAGCTAGTCACTGCTCTGTTCTCTGTCCTGGGGGTAAGGTGCCATCTTGCAGATTTGGGCCTTGGTGGCAGGGGCAGATGAGAGCAGAGGAACGGCCCACCCACAGGACAGTCCTTACCTGTGAACAAGGGAGCGTGACTTTTAGAGAGGGCCAGTGTTATTCAAGAAATTTAAATTTTAAGAAGTGGGGTGGGGAACAGTGATTAGTCTTCCTGAGTTATGAAAACGGGCAGATTTAAACACCTGCTTGCCTCCATCTTGGGGCTTTGTTGGTTTTAGTGAGTCAACACACATTGGTCTTTACTCATGTAGAATGACAGTGTTAAGCATATTTTTAGGTTCCAGAAATGATTCAGAAGTTAGACATGACACTAGAGTTTGAGCTTTCACTTTACTTAATCACAAATTGTTTTCAAACAAAAACTTGTTCCAGAATGTCTTTCCTGGAGACAAGAGGACATTTTCCCTCCGTAGTTCTTATGACAGTCTCGGGAATGAGACTCCAATCTCCCAACTTGAACATAAGCCTATTAACTTGACTTGGAAAAATAACTTTCCTTTGTTTTTGTCTTTGCTGGATGTATCACAAGTACATGGGGCTTTCCCATCTTTGCATCTGAAGAGAAGCTCTGTGAAAAGCAAGAGCTTTGGTTTCCTCACCTGTGAATGACCGCAAATAAATCCTCTGTTGTTCGAGGTTTGTTTGGAGACACGAGGTTCGTTGGGAACCCACCTTCCGCTTCCGCCTGAGAGTCTTCACTCAGCGGTGAGGTCAGAGAGCCATCTGGTGACGATTCTTAAATGAAGAATAAAATTATCTTTAGGAGGAAATTACCCAGCAAATTACCCTGCTGGGCTTCCCTGACTCAGGAGACAAAGAAATGACAATTACCTTACTGCCATTTTTATTCATTCATTCATTCTTTCATTCATTCATTATGGAAGTTACACTGGTTTACAACACTGTGATTCAGGGGAATAGGTTCACATCCCCTCAGATGTATGTCACGCCAACACAGCTACCACCAAAGCACCCATTCACCCGTTGTCCTTTGCCCTAAGCCACTGGGCCCCTCCCCGCCACCCCTCTCCCCCCAGTTGCCATTTATACACTGAGGGTGCTGTCTGTCACAGCGTGGGCCCGCAATACAAAAGTTTGATCTCAACTGTTTTGTAAGTGAGAAGTAGTGGAGGGGAACCAGCTCCCAGGGCTGTATGGGATCTCAGGGAATGTGGGAAAGAAAAACCCCAGGAAGTGCCAGTCACCTTTCTGGCCTGACAAACAAGGTGTCCACAACTGACCTTTCAATGACGCCTCATCCAGGCTTCCAGGGGAGTCCTCTGCTCCGCTGTTCTCAGAGGCACTTTTGGCTGAAATACCTGAAGCAATATTTTCCTGTTCAGAACGTGGGTCAGGGCCTGAATTTGCAGCTGACAGCTCTGCTTCAAGGCTGGTGTTCCCAGGCACTTTGTCATGGTAGCGGCTCACGCCAAAGGGATGCCTAAGTTGACCGCTTATGTCCACAGCTCCAGCTGGCAAGTGCGGCTGAGGTGTGAGCGCATCCCCAGACTCAGGGTGTGCACCGTCCTCCCGACCTGCACCGGGGGCCTGCTGGGCCTGCGCCCGGGCTCCACCCAGACCAGCTCCACATGGCATCAATTTGCCATCCAGATCACCGGGGCGGGCAGCAGAAACCCTCTGAAACCCTTCTGCGGGGAGGTCACAGTTTGCGCTCGGCGTGCTGTCTGGCCCAGGTGCGCTCTCCGCGTGCATTTGGTCTTTTGTGACACTTGAATCTGGAAGGTTGCTACCAGCCAGGGGCACCGCTTCTGGCTCGCAGTGATTGCTCACATCAAAAGCACGGGTTTTTTCTAACTGCAGTTTCTCTGGGCCCATCTCAACGGCGGAGGAGTCCAAAAAGGACAGGATGGTTTCTTCAGTGGAGTACTGACGCGACAGGGATTTCTTGGCCGCGTGCGGCCTGATCTTACCCGGACACAGGGCCGCCATCGGGAGAGCTCGGTCCTCTAAGTAGGGGAGATCCGTACTGTTGCATTCCTTTTGCTTTACTTCTTCGGACTTGCTGATGGACCTAAGGTTCACAGATTTCAGGACTGTCGGGGTAATTGCGAGGGACGGCGGGGGGTGGGACCTCAGCGTTTCTCCCGCGGGGTTCTGCTTATTGTGACTGAAGACATGCAGGGGGTGGCGGTGGTGGAATGGTTTATTCAAGACGTTGTGAAGAGCACTTAGGTCAAGATGGGTTGGAGGTATAATTGGGAGCTCGAGATCCTTGCTCAGGGAGAGGGTCCCATCTTTCAAAGAGGGTTGCTGGAGGGAGGACTTCCTTTCTGGGACTTTTGGTTTTCTTTTGCTGCCTCCAGGAGACAACGGCCCAGAGAAGAAGGCAGTCGGGAACGAGGACGTCGGCGTTTCGGACTGGCTGGAGTAGCCGCTTGACGGCGACGCCAAGCCTGCCAGCTTTTCTGGCGAAGCAAGTTTAAACTCATTGTCCACAGAAGGGAGGGAGGGGTGGTAGCTCTTGATTCTGACTGGGATGTTTGGGACTCCGAGCTCTCCGGAGACTTGATGCACTCGATAACTGTGGTACCCGTGGCCGTGCTCGAATTCGACAAAGACCTGTAAGGATCATTTGTTTTTAAGTCATTGAGAAGCCAGAGGTCTGCATAGTGAGGGGATTCAGCACCTTCGTCTTTAAACGGTGGAATATCTGAAGCGTCCAGCTGAGGTTCCTTCATCCCGTGTTCGTTCTGGTTCAGCCAAGAAGGTTCCTGCTTGGCGGGAAGATTGGCATTTTCCATTCGAGAGGGCGTGTTGGAGAAATCAAGAGGCAGCTTCATTTCCCTGGAAGTGTGAGGCAGGAGCTGGCTGCTCATTATCTTTGGTTCTTTCTTCTCAGAAATGTCTGCGCTTCCATCGGACTTCCTCAGCGAAGAGCTACGCTTAGGTGGGGTTGGCTTTGCCTTTGGTCTCCTGAAAGAAATGCTTGGTCTCCCCTGCCTCCGGTGGTCTAAGTAGTCCTGCCAGGTACAGTCTGGAAGAGGAGGAGGAACCCCTACCCCCTGGCCATTCTCTGGGCTCAGGGCTGCGTAGTGGCAGACATAACTCTTGCTGCCCTTGAGACCACAGTCAAAGTGCATGGAGGTGTAGTATCCTTCCGTGTCCACCGAAAAGTGAGAGCTAGTGTCCGCTTTGTCTGACGGAGACTTCTCCAGAAAGCTGTCATAAGTGGCCATGCTCGTGAAGCTGGGGCAGCCCAGGCTGTCGGCCTTGGGGCGCTCAGGACTGAAATCCTGGCGGCAGGAGGCATCGTGATGGTGGTGCAGATAATTCCACTCGCTGTCGCTGGTGTTGCTGTTGTTAGCATCGTCCAGCAGGTCGGCCACAGTGGAGGTGAAGGAGTTGGCCCGGTGGCCTCTCGCTTTATCCAGGTGCTCACTGTACTGCTCTGTCACGAAGACGCTGGCGTCCTCGTTTGCGTGAGGGGCCGTGTTCAGGGACAACTCCGAGTCACAGTGCGAAGAGCCCGTGAGGGGAGGAGAAGCTGCGGGAGGAATGGTCTCTGAGGTCTGCGACGGGCACGTGGAGCTGCTGCCACTCCAGTTGCCGCTGGATGACTGGTGGTCGTCCTTCTGGTCCATGTGGCTGCTGAGGAGGACGCCAGCCGTGGAGATGCAGTGGATGGGGCTCCCAAAGGTGTCGGAGTTGGAGGAGATGTCGCAGCTGCCAGAGTCAGCAGTCATCCGGGACAGCCGGGACCGCCCTCTCTCACTCAGCTTGTGCTGGGGGCTGTGCAGATGCTGGGAGCAGGCCAGGCCCATGGCGGACTGATGCTCCTGCGCGCTCGGGCTGCTTGGGGCCTCACTGCACTCATTAGAGGTTCTTTCTCGGTCACCCCCGAAAGGCTCCCCCTCTTCATATGCTGAGGGTTTAGCACCGACTTGGGGTTCAGCGTCCCCACCTCTGTTGCCCTCCCGAGGAAGGCTCCGAGATCTCGTGCGGCTGCTCACGGCAGCAGTAAACATGGTGTCGCCTTTGTCTGCCAGCGCGGAAATGTTCCCAGCTGAATGCGAAAGGGAAGCGGCGATGCTTTGACCCCGCTGAGCTCTGATTCTCCTTCTGGACGGGGCAGCAATCAGAATGTCTTCCGTTTGGCACTCGGAGTCCCTGGTCCCAGACCTCCTATTGACAGTGTTGGAAGGGTCTGGATTCGTGTGCACGATCACGTTCCTCTCCCTGGCCACTGGCGATTCATCAGAATCTAGGGCACGTGGAAAGCAGAGTGAGATGTTTTTACATCAGCAGACTACCAGACCTTCTTCGGAAAAAGTCAAAAGGTTTTGGGGGACGCCCTCTCTCTCTCTCTCTCTCTCTCTCTCTCTCTCTCTCTCTCTCCATGTAATGCGTATGTATGCAAGTGTACAAAGAGATTTCACTCTCTTTACTATCAAATTACTTTGCTCCAATAAGGGATTACTATTTTTTTAACTAATGTACATTTTATATTCTTGACCACTATTCATTATTATCTTGCACTATAAACATAATGATAAAAGTCATAGAATTCATTATAAGAAATAAAACTCTTGTTTTGAAGAGATGCTATAATAACGATAATGATTATGATAATACTAATAACATAAGAAGAGATACCCTAAACACACTGAACAGCAAAAATTTTACAAATGTCACCAAGGGTATCACCTTATCAATATTCAAGGTATAACTGAATATGCTTGAATAAGGAGATTTCAAACAAAGATGTACTTTGCTAAAAGCATCTTTCATTGGCTCTTGTTACTTTTTTATTCATAATGTCCACGTGACTAAAACTTTTAATAATTAGCAAAATATTACACGTCAGCCAGAAGACCCGAATGTAGATGCCTAAATCTGTGACGTCAAACCTTCACAGTCCAGAGCAGAAATTTAAAAAGCAAGACCACCTGCTTTGCTGGACACGACACGAGTACACACCATGTCAAAACCTCTCCGCGTCTCAGTGCTGACCTCTTAAGAAAGCTGGTTAAATCTGCACCCCAACAGAATGTTAACCATTAGTATTTTTATACCACACCTATTTCTTGTTGGACTCTTCTGGGGATACCCGAGATGGTCTTCCTCCTCCTCAGTTTTCGTCTCCGCTGTAGTACAGATTGTGAATGAACGAGAGAGCAGCGTATACTCGCCTCTCTGTCAAAACCAACTCCTGCAACCCACAAACAGGTCTCATTAGCCTTTAGAAATGGCAAACAAATTTGATTTGCGTGGAACACAGTGATATTTATGACTAAATGTAAAGGAAGAGTTTGGACTAAGCCTGTGGACAAACATAAGGGAGCCTGTCTTCAGCCCTTATTTAAACCAGGCTGCAGCACTTTACCCTTCGCGTCTCCGGGCAGTTCCCCGCAGCAGCATGCACTGCCAAAAGTAGCCGGTAAAGAAGGAAAAGCAAAAGAAAGAGGAGAGAAAATAACACCAAAGCATCGCCCACAGAAATGGCTCCGTAAGGACTTGCAACCTTCAGTTGCCATTATTTACTGGTCTATTTCTGGGTTTCCCGAAGCTGGTGTCATTGCGTAGTCGCTTCGTAGCCAAGATGTTAACCTGAATTAGTTCAGCTAACACATCCTGACCCATTTCTGCATTAAAAGCCTCTTTGCGAGGGTTCTTTCCCTTCCACCCACTATGCCCAAACCCTAGATACACACACACACACACACACACACACACTTGCTGTGAGGAAACAACAGCCTAAAGATTTTTTTTAATCACCATGTAACTTTGTTTACTTTCTCCTACTGACTAAATTGGATGCTTTTCAGTTTAGTGGTGTCTTCTCATTATAAAATAAAAGTACAAGGCCTTCCTCGCTTCCACACTTCCACGGATCTACCGTCTGTTCCAACTGCTAATAATGCTGGAGTTCCCAGTCTGTGCAAGGTGTGTCTGTTTGCTTTAATAAATACAGGGTGAATCGTCATGTTTGTTAGTTGCTCTCTCCACAGTCACCTTTTTGACACAACATGCTGTCCTATCAAACTAGAGCCTGCGGGCGGGCGGAGGGGAGGAACTCAAACGCCAGTCCGGCTCCAGCACACACCGTGGGTTTTTCAGAGTGAGCCGTGCACAGAAAGCCCGATACCACAAGTGCTTTGGAGTCGGTTCACCTCATGCTTTATCCAGATTGTTAAACAAGGCGCAGGATGGCATGTCAGGCCTTGGCTCAGCTAAACAATGAAGCAGTTTGAGGTCTGCTTAGCATCCCAGTAACAACAGTCTCTAGAATTCACTTTGAAAAGTCTGTGTGAGATATGATGAATAATTATATTATCGGGAAAACCGTGCCAATGGAATTTTCCATTCTCAGTTCCAACCAAAATTAAAATCCTTCATTCTAATCGCAATAAGCATACAACACATGGCACACAGGCACACGCATTTTGTGTTACATGACTCACAACTTTCTCATTAAAGCTTGTGAATCCACATAGAACCTGCGTGTTCGTTTGAGATTGCCTGCATGAAAGCAGAGGAAAGACCTTCCTCTTTCCCTTAACCGTGAGACCCATAATCAAAAAACCAAATTGGAAAACAAGATTTTACTTACAGTGCCATGAAGAAAGCTGGTGCTGCTAACAATCAGATGTTCCCAGAACTGAAAGTTAGTTTAAGGGGGTGCCAAAATGATCTCCTAATTCATCCCATTTAGATTACGGAGATCAGATAAGTACACTTCCTTAGAATAATTTACCTACAAGTTCAATAGGTCATCAGGAACCTTTACTCCCACCACCAGCCAATCAACTACAGCTCCTTCTTCTTCTTCTTCTTTATTTTTTTTTTTTTTTGTTTTCAGGAAGGAAATAATATCTGTCCCAGATGCAAATGTCCCAACATTTGCTTCCCACTTTAGGCAAGAGAAATCAGAGTGGGGTTCATAATAGCCGTGTCTCCCACGCATCCTGAGCAACATGCAATCTGCCACATGGCGCCAGGGTGCAAATCAGTCATGAGATGGCCTTTTTGAAATTTTTGATATACAAAAATAGTAGTTAAAATATAACTATGAGAGATGTTTAAAGAAAGCCCAGTGGATAAATCATTTAACCTCCACCTTTGAACGTTAGACTATTTTTCATTATTTTACTTACCACTAAGAATATCAGATCCAATTAGGGAATTTATAATTGCTACCTATAAACTTCTGAAGAAAAGTCCGACAGACTTTACACGTGACCTAGCCTCTCAACACACAGGAGGAGGAAAGCCGAGTGGGGTCCATCTGTCTGGTTTAGAGTAAACTCAGCCTTCGTGTATGCAACCACATACTGCATCAATGCAGAAGCTTAAATAATCTTTCAATCAAGTCTGCCTTCCTCAAAGAACACATAAAGACAAATTTTATAGTTGACCTACAGGTTCATTACCTGCAGTTTGAGAAACCTGAGGTTTGTTTTCTTCCTGGCAGTGCTACGCCTCATCATCCTATGATTAATCACTGCCGCTTTCTCCATTATTTCAGTTAGCTAAGGCCAAATTACTATTTGGTGACTTTTTAAAAAAAAAAAAAAAAGAAACTGTCCATCATTTACATAACAAGCAGCCTAGCAGCACATATGCAAATTGATGTTCTGATGTTCAAAACCTCACACAAGCAGATTGAACATCCTCTGAATTGTATTCTGATGGAAAAAGGTATGACCTGTTTACAAAACAGAATGAAACTGGGACACCCAGCAACACAGGCTTTGAACATATTTACTACACAGAATATGCTGACCCGACCACCCCTAAGAACAGAACTGAATGGTACCAGTCACGTTGATGGGGATAATGCAAGAAGAAATCACTTGGGCATCTTGCTTCATCTTCTCCTCCGGTGTGGGCAGAGGTAACGCTTTGTTCCAGTTGGTCTGCTTGTCCAGTGTCGAGGGGATATTGTGTACCGGGTTTTTCGGCCTCTGCCCTAATGTGACATCCGTATCTTCGTCCTCCGGGGGATGGGACTGTAAAGGAAGCACATTCAGACTCAGCCATCGAGATCTGAGCATCGCAGTTTAATTAACTGACTCATGTTTAGTTAAGAAAAATGAGGTCAGAAATAAGCTTTTAGGTGAAAGGAGAATTCCTAGAAATAGGAAGCACAACTAATTAAAAGTTATTTCAATAGTTAAGCAACAGAAAAGGGAAAAGGGGGTTAAATAAACATGCTTTTCAGGTCAAATGGAATTAAAAGGAGAGACAGAGAGCCAGAAATCCTCAAACTTAAAACTGAAGAAAAATGAGCCTTTAACCCAGTGAGAGGCAGAGCTGCTTTCTGGACATCTATCTTGCCACAAATTCCTGCTGAGTCTAGAGAGCTCAGGTTGACTAGGGTCAAGGGGAGATGATGATTTAGATGCCCATGAAAAGATTCAGAAAACCTGGAGTCAGGAGACATTCCAGAACATATCACCTGAAGGGCAAGCCAACCTAACCTGACAGGCAGGATTCAAACACAAGGAGTCACTTTTACTGCAGAACTGCAGGGCTAGCGAATTACATTTTTAAAGCCACAATTTCATCAACACCCAGTACACATGGAAAAGCCAAATGATGACTAGGAATCTCCCCCCACCAACCACAGAGGAAAATATAAATGCGGTTCTTGGGGCTACAGTGGGGGCGCCATCTAAGGGGGGGGGTCTCTTTTTCAAATTCAGGACAGTAAAACAGTCCTACTTTAATTTTTTCAGCTTCACAGTGTGAGGTTTCCCTTCCAACTGTGTAGTTAGAGGCCTTCACTTATATATGACATTTGAAAATTCTCCATTCAAACCTTCAATAGATATTTATATTATCTAACTTTTAGTTCAGTGTTGAGCTCCTAGGCCAGATTATTAAAAAGACTTCATCTCGATCCTGATTTCAGGGTTGGGTCTCTAAAGCAGATGATTAAAAGACCCAGTTTTCCCCATAGACCCTAGTTTTATTTCTTCACACAATTTGGAGAAAGATGGGTGTGAAATAAATATTTTCCTCTTACTCCAGTTCAATTTTAATAACATTCTGTTCTAAAATCAGAATCATTTTAAAGAAATTCTCATCCTCACATTTGGAAGCATTATGCCCTGCTGACTCGGAAGATTTCACATATTGTCAAATGAACTGTGTTCAAGTCCCCTTAAAGAGAAGATTCCAGAGCCTTATTTAAAGTACTAATTTAAAGTAACCCCCAGCATTTGCTTACCTTGTCAGCGGTATCTGCAAAGCCCCCCAACACACCCAACAGAATATGATTCCCCCCTTGGAAAAAAACGTGTTCACTATGAACATTTTAGTAAAACATTGCAACCTTCTCTCTCTTCAGCTTTTGTGCAGTTTCCCAGTGAAGCGAGTAGCTCAAATAAAGTTGGAGCACAAAAGACTTTGTTTCCTAGGTAACTTCCAAAAAGGAAAAAAAAGTTGGTTCATGCAAAAGAGACAGAAAGAGAGGGAGAGGGAGCAAGAGCTGGAGAGCAACCCCACCACCAGGGCCACATTTTGTAGGCGATCCTTTCCTTGAATAACAATGCAGCTGGACACAAAGCCAGACCAGTGACCTGACTGCAGACCAAGCAGCAGCCAACAGCACTTTTTATTTGGTGGCGACTGGGACAACCGGCCAGAGAATCCTTTTGTCCCGTTCCCTGTTTTGATTTGAGAAGCTGAAGCTTTAGGGTTCTGAGAAATACAGGGCAAGTTGGAATTTCTTTCCTCCGAACTACAAAGTCCAGGAGGGTGTCTCAAGCACAGCCTTCATTGCAACTTGAGGGGGGAAAGCCAGGGGTACGGCTGTGTAAATGACTTTTACTTCATTCAAGATCGGAAAACACCGCGCTTTAAATGGGTGGAAAAGAAAACCAGTTAGTGAGAAGCATCAGAGTTGGCCATAAAATTAGAAGAGAGAAGAAAGTTAAAGTGTCTGGAGAGAGTGGGGCAGGGCTGTGATGGCACGTTTCGGGACCAGTACCTTTCTACTCCATGGGGTCATGTGGCAACACTCAGTGGGGGAGGGCGAACGCGTGCTGTTAAACTATGAACATGAAATGCAGAAAAAAAAAGAAAAAAGTAAAAACATGCACACAACACATAATATGCCCTGCTTCGTCCAGCCAAGGCTGTGGTATTAGAGAATGAATCTACTGCGACAACTCCCCCCTTCCTGCCTCCCCCTCCCTCCCTCCCTCCCTCCCTGCCTACCCCCTCCCTCCCTCCCTGCCTCCCCAATGCATCTTTATTTCAGGAGAGGCAGTATCAACAGTGGTTGAGAGCACAGACTTTGGAACTAAAGGGTTCAAATTCTGGCTCTGCCATGTATTTGCTAGAGACCAGGGCAATTTCTCAACCTCTAAGCTCAGCCCAGAGATAGGGGAAATAATAGGATCTAGCCTCCAGGGCTGTTTTGAGGATTAAATGAGTAAATATAGATAACAGACTTAGAAGAATCCTGGAACTTAATAAGCTCTATGCATACTATCTCAGTTGCTACTATTATTACACTTACCTTGTAGTTGTGAAATTGTCTCTGCTAATCTTAACTTTTTTATCTTTTACATCCCATTTGCTAGTTTGCCTTAGAGTGATTTTAGTTTCCTGTGAACTTACTTGAAGTAAGAAAGGAAGGACTTTCTTGAAGGAAGAAAACTTCCTGTGCAAAACTCCCTCCTCTGGACTGCTTGAAATTTGCCTCTTTCACATATTCACAGAGTGTATTTGAAGAGAGGGTCAGCTTCATGGCCACGTGACCTCCATAGTCACAAGGGGCCCGTGCTCAGGACTCTGTGCTTGATTTAATGCTGTCGCTGTTGTGAAATTCTTTTTTTTTCAATAAGGGGCCCTGCATTTTCATTTTGCACTGGGCCCCACAAATTATGTCGCCAGCCCTACGTGGAATATAATCTGGTAACTAGAATCCCTTGTCTTCTCTACCAAGACAGATACTGAAACTCTTTTAGACCACATCAGCATTGGAATCAAATGGGGCTCTGTTCTAGCACTTTCCACAGCGCATTGCTTTAATGTAATGTGAATGATCCTCGGATGCATCTTTTTTATCTATTCGAGACGAATTCCTAGAGGTCAGGAACCCTATTTAAATTTTCCCTTTTTTTCAGTCTTCTGTGGCACTGGCAAAATGCCTCCCCCAGTGTTAAATAGCTCAACCAATTTCTTGTGCCCTTGGATGACACCACCACTGCAATGGGACCCTTGGTGCTCAAAGGGTGGTTCATATGGCCTCAGGAGGAAGCAGACATGGAAAATCTAAAGGTACTTGCATCTTTGTGCAAACAGAAGAAACCACAAGCAACACTCGATTCCAACAGAGGCTCAGTATCAACCTACGCTGGGCCTAGTTATTCTTTTTTTTTTTTTTTTTTTATAAAATTTTTTTTTTTTTTAAGATTGACATTTATTTATACAAGCACTGGGTACAGTCAGAAACGCGGGAGGTGAGAGAATTCACCAGAGCCAGAGCAGGGAGCAGAACAAGCAGAAGGTCCGAAGTACACTGCTCAGGGGAGCAGTGGGCAGCAGGAGAGGTCTGCGCGCCATGTGGGACCCTCGCCTGGCAGCCGGGGATCGAACAGGCACTGCAGATGCCGCGGGCAGCTTTGCAACCCAGCGCTCAACCGCTGCGCCACCATGGGAGGTATTCTTAAATTTATGGTAGACGTGCATGGGGGGGGGGGTTCAAGATCTAATTCTTCTCTAAGTTTCTAAGTTTTAACTAACAGAGTTGCTCATTAAATTTTTTTTCAGGTTTTGAAGTAAACTTTCCTGAATTCATATCATGCCCATTCCAGTTTTATTACTAACAACCCTGACAGTGCAGTTTTCTTAGTTATAATTTGGAGGGAACACCTACCCAGCCTGTTCCTGATATTTTTAATTTTATAAATAAGAGGTTGCTCATTAATTTTTAAGCAAAACAAATGCCATCTTTTTAGGCCCATGTAAGTTTTTCTTCTTCATATTCATACAAACACATACATCATTTCATTGGCAACAGACATGGCTGATACTGCATTGAATTAACTCCACCAATGTGAAAATAGCGACCCTCGGTCAGACTGTACAGGTAAAAACCAAAAGCACAATTAACTAGCACGTTGTAAAGAAAGGAAACGAATGCTTCGCAACGCTTCTTGAGGAATAAGAGAAAATTTAATCCAAGAAATCCAGGATACAATGCAATTAGTTTTGATCTAGGTCTCATTTAAGACAAAGGATTTGGATGGATGTGGACGTCTCACTGAAAGCGACCATTTTGACGGCGGCTAGGTGGCTGGCTCCAGGCACTAACCTGGCTCTCTGGTAAGACATTAAGGCATGCAAAATAGAAACCTCAGGGCGGCAGGGAAAAGGGAGCCTGGAAACACGACCCACATGGAAAAGGTGCCTCTTTCCAAGAAACCAAAGGTCTTGGTGGTGGTGGCTTGTGGAATATTTTATATAATTACACCGCAGGAAATGGCAGGGTAGAGAACACATCAACGTATGACTATTAATATATTCATTTGGGTAGTTTGAAATCCCCTGTGCTTTTCAGGAGTGAGAGCTGAGGAGTGGTGTTTCTTTCTCCTCTGTTTGGAAACACTTTCCATTCCGTTAGAGAGACAGTAAGTTAACTCTGGGAAGTGGCTAAGGATGGCCAGAGCGCAGTAAATCAAGGTCTCCATGGGAGGGCGCCACTGAAGGTCCCTTCTCAGTCAAGTGACTCCGACTTTTGGCGGGGGGTTTAGCTAAAGCGGGTGCCCTTGAGCTGGGATTTGCAAGGCTGGTGCCCTGTGTTCAGGTCCCCGCAGATGGGTCTGTGGACTGTCTTATAATATTCAAATGGGCCACGAATTAGTAACTGCCTTCGGGTAGTGTTTTAAAGCATCCCCTTTCTGGGGTGTTTGGTCAAAGGAAGCAAAATTGTTGTGATTATTTCTGATTAGATTTTTATATGGCGAATACAATGATCCAGTCATAGAATTTTTTTCCCTCAAATTATCTATGAAATAAACCTGCAAGAGAGCTGCTACCTCAGGATATCTGCATGGCAGAGCATGCTACTCCTGAAAGGTGCAGGTGCAAAAAGTCAGGCAAAGCCGCCTGCCGATCAAGTTTGTGGGAACGAAATGAGTACTATTGCTTATTCAGAATAAGACTTGCAAGGGCAGGAACCCCTTCTTGTTCTTAACTGTATTCCTACTGCCTCAGTAATGCTCCACGTGCCTGGCAGAAGCAAACAAAAATCCCCGCTAAATCAGTACAACATCCAGCATAAAGTGAAAGGTAACAAAGCAAGGAGGAGAGGAGCCAGTATGAGCCAGAAGTATTCAAAACAACAGATGCTAGAGACAGACTCACAGGCTTCCTGCTTTGAGAGTTTCCGCTCCATGCAGGAACAGCACTCCCCCAGAACAAGTGTATGGGGAACTAGGCCAATCAGTTATTCATTCAAGATCATGTGTGATGAGGGTCAGAATCGGCCTCAGCGGAAACAAATTGTCAGATAAATAATTTCTCCCTCATGAGTAGTTCACTGCAAAATTCTTTCAACTTTCCATTATAAAATGTTGGAGAAAATGCCAAAAAAAAAAAAAAAACAACAAAGAAGAAGAAATTTCTCTTTTCTTTTCCAGGCTCCCCTCTGGCCCTTCTGTCACTGATTCTGAGAGGCACCATTTTGGAATCAGCCACCGCCCATCATGTCCAGCTTGTCCCTAACAAAGATGCTTCTTGGATGATTTTTGTCCCATTTCTGGCCTTACTGGCCCCATCAATTATCCCCGAATCTTTTCCAAAGCTTCCCATGAAACAGCTTCAACAAAAGCTACGGTGATACTTAAGACAAGTGTTCAGAACAAGAAATAACAGACATTAGACTGCAGATCAGTCAAAGAAACGTATTTGGTGAATAATGAAAGAATATTTTCCAACCCCCAATCTTTCCCTGGTGTGTGTGTGACAAAAGTTCATTTCTTCACTTTTGTGGCAATGAACAAACATTTCTGCAGAGATCTCAAGATTTCCCCCAACTTTTCTCTTCCTGCCAAAAGAAAAAAAGAATCCTTCCACTCCATATTTTACCTTCTTTTAGGTTTCATTTTATATGCTGATGGGGGCTTATTTTGCTGCAAAACTTTCCAAAAGACATCTGTTAAAATGTTGTGGGTATTCCAGCAGGAAATGTTTTGAAAAATTGGCTTTGGCTTGTGATCTAACCAATACCACATGGCATTTATAGCAGTCGACTTTCAGAGCTGATTTATTACTATCATCCTGTCTAAAACATGAGAAATCTTCACTGGAGAATGGATGGCTTGGTATATTCAAATACAGGCATTAAAACTTAGAGGAAAGACGTCCATTGCAAGCCACACCCGGTTCCCCGCGATCTGGAATATTACTCTCATTCCACCACGGTACTTACTTGTCCTTAGACCCAGTCCCTGCATTTCTGCTCCTATTATAGCCTGTCTGTGAGATGGAAGGGACCTTGTCTGCCTCACATTTTTCTTTGCTGGAGAGTATGCATGTGTTATACATAAATATGAGGTGCGATGATCCTTCTGGAAGGCTTAAAGGAGTCTGGCAATGCCTCCTTCACATATCACTCTTGCTGCTACAATTCCATAGCACTTTTATTTCCTCAAGACTGTCCCAAAGTCTCCCACTGGCTGGCACTGTGTTTTTATTTTCCAAATATGTCTTATAACATTATCTTAAACTCATCCTGCACTTCCTGTTTCTTCTATCTTAGCTTCAGCCCTTACCAATGTAAACAACCATGGGAAAGGAACAAGATGATAAAGGAAGTAAGAGTTTTTGGCACATCCCATTCTGTCTGTGATCTAAGCCTTTCTTCCCATTTCGGGTTTAGCCTTTGTCACCACTGTCTTGGGGTAGCCAGGGCTTCATGCCTCCCCAAAGGCTCTGAACGCAGCACCCGGATGGCCCAAGCTCTTCACACTGCACTCCCAGCCACCAGGGAGGCCAGGAAAAAAAAAAACAACCCAGATGCACTCACATTAGCACGCGGAG